GCATGACACTTGCAACATTTCTACTAACTACATACACTGAATGTTATATACAAATATTTTCACAACTAAAAAAATACTTATGTTTATTATAAAATAAACAGCAACGATGATACATCCAACTTTTCTCAATTGATCATTATTGTTTTAATTTTGGTATATGAAGTGTGTTTTGATCAAAATTAAAATGAGTCATGCAAACTCCTAATGTATATAATTTGTTCTCTAATTTCATATTTATAAACATCTTTTCATCAATCTTCTAAGTTCCTACAAGTTGTGTTAAAGGATGCTGATTTAATGCAAATTTAGAACAACATTGTATTTTTCCATCAAATATATCTAAAATAATACAAAATGTAAGTATTTGATCAGAAATATCCTCAATTTGATAACTATTATCTTCTTCTATAAGGTTTGTTGTTATTTCTTTTTCAAGATCTAAAGTTTTATCAAATTATTTTCCCAATAAAATTCATCATTTTCATTATTATTTAACAATTCATGAGCTTTTTCAAAAGCTATTGTATCCAATATAAATGGCAAAATTTCAATATCATCACTAGTATTTTCTATTACAGAACTACCAGTAATTGTAGCAGTTGAGCTCATATTATCATCATCTAATTCTATTAAATCTTCATCTTCATTCAAACCTTTGTATTCAAAATCATCTTCATCAATACTAACTTTTTTTCTAAGCATCAATTTGTTCTACAATTTAAATCTAAAACAAATTATTAATATTGATTACATCATTATATAATCATAATGTAAATTACAATTTAATTTATCTTTATTTAATGAATATAACATTTTTGTTCTATTTAATAAAAAAAAAAAAGTTAGAAAGAATAGAGAGAATTTATTGTTATATAACTAAAGTGAGAAAATAAAAGAATAATGTTAATTTTTTAATAAAAAGTTATTTTGTTTTTAAAAATAAACTTAGCATTAGAATTTATAATGGTCCAGAACTTAATTTAAATGTTTTCATATGTTACATTTCTGATTTTCTGTATAATGATATACACACATATACATAAGTGCGCGCATATATACACATGCATACTCACGCATACACATCTGCACACACACACACATATATGCACAGACACACACACATATGCTTATACACACACACACACACATATGCATATACACAATAATCTTTAAATAGTATTCCATTTATATTGTTCTTACAAGAACGATTCCTTTATTATCGTTCTAGCAAGAACAATTCAGTTTTTTTATTATCATTCTAACAAGAACGATTTGATTTTATCATTCTTCCAAAAATGATTTCATTTATATTGTTCTTGCAAAAATGATTTCTTTTTTATCGTTCTTGCAAGAACGATTCATTATTACCATTCTAGCAAAAACGATTCTGTTTTTATCATTCTTGCAAGAACAATTCTATTTTTATCATTCTAGAAAGAATAATTTAATTTTATCGTTCTTGCAAGAACGATTCCTTTTTTATCATTCTTGCAAGAATGATTCCGCTTTTATCATTTTAGCAAGAACAATTCCTTTTTATCATTCTTGCAAGAATGATTCCTTTATTATCATTCTAGCAAAAATGATTTGATTTTATCATTCTTGCAAGAATGATTCCTTTTTTATTATTCTAGCAAGAATGATTCCTTTTTTATCATTCTTATAAGAATGATTCCTTTATTATCGTTCTTACAAGAGATGATTCCTTTATTATCGTTCTAGCAAGAATGATTTCTTTTTTATTATTCTAGCAAGAACAATTCCTTTTTTATCATTCTTATAAGAATGATTCCTTTATTATCATTCTTGTAAGAGATAATTCCTTTATTATCATTCTAGTAAGAACGATTTGATTTTATCGTTCTTGCAAGAATGATTCCACTTTATCATTCTAGCAAAAATAATTCCTTTTTATCATTCTTGCAAGAATGATTCCTTTATTATCATTCTTATAAGAACGATTCTGCGAATTTAACAGACTGACGTTTTTTCCATAGATTTCAACTCATTGGGACATTATTTTATCAAACTACTGATTTTGATTTTTTTAAATTTAGATATTATGTCCAGTTTAATTGGCTCTACAACTTTTCCTATATGTAAGGTGTAGGTTTAGAATACCGATTTTGACTTTTACATAGAAAAACTTAAAGATCAACATAAATTTACTTCGTTACTGAGAGAATTTTTTTTTTATTTCAAACCGAAAATTATTTAAAACTATTGTTATGATAATATTAATAAATTAATATTTAAAAAGTATAAGGCTTGATTATTTTTGCTCTAAAATTTTAAAAGTTTAGACCTGTTAGAATTTAATGTTTGCATATAAGTAAATGTTGACAATCGTCATTTTTTAATATGAAAATTGCAATATGCATTATGTCGATCCCTTAATTGAAAGCAATACAAGGGACAAATTATCGTGTAACATTGGATTACTTGGATTTTACTGCGCATATGCAATGCCTGAGATCACGTGACCCGAAAGTTTTAAATTTTTTATTTATCGTATCGTTATATATAAATAAATTTGAAATTTATTAATACCTAATTTTGAAGTCTAAAATAAATGCATTAAATTTATTAAAATGAAATATAAAAATTAAAATCAAATTTTATTTATACATTATTAAATTTAATATTATATATAATTTTATTTAATACTAAAAATATTGTTTGATAAAAAAAATAGATTTAAAATACCAATTTTAAATTTTATATAAAAGAATTATTTTAATATAAATACTTTAGCAATAGCCTTAAAATTAAGGGACATGTTCTATGACCGCTACTCACTAACTTAAGATGACCTTGTTAAGCAAATTTATCTTTGGGGTAAACAAATTATTTAATTATTTCGCGTGAATTAACATTTTTTTTTTCACAAACCCAACGAAACTTTATTCTTTCGAAACGATTTAAGAAACGATAGCGATTAACCGGAAATTTGTTGCCTTTTCTGCATCAATGAATTGCCATTTTAAGTTAAACCATCTAAAGAAGAACAATGGTAATAGGCTGATTCTCAAAAAGAACCGACAATAACGATTAAAAAAAAAAAAAAAGCTCACCCAAATTTATGTTCCGCAGCAATCACAATTTTCATGGTAACTCATGTGGTGTAAAATCAAATACAGAAAAATTTGCGTGGCCAAAGATAATTGGGGGCACATATGTTTATGGTCAACTCGTGAAACATGATTTACAAACGAGTAATAATTATTTAACAAAGTTGAACTTTTTACATTATTACATGTTTTTTTTTTTGTTTTCCCGGAGAATCCTTTAAGACGTGTTCATGTTATTTGTGTCTGATGTTACATCAAAAAAGATTACATTTAAGCTTGGCAACTTTCGCTAGATAACAAGAGACTACAATCAAACGATTGTTGTTAATCACATTATGTTGAACAAGATTCTTTGTTTACAAAGTGTCCTTTACATGATAAGAAAAATCAAACCAAAAAGAAAATTCTGGCGTTAATTAAAACAAAATATGTCGTATCATTTGATTATGCCCTTAGTGATTGATAAATGTATATTCATGTGGTACCAACAAGTTATTGAAACTAACACATGAAATTTTTCAGTTGCGCGAAATTTTTTTTTTTATACATACGCCTTGCAATAAAAAAAAAGTATCTTTAATTATAGAAAGTGATGTAAGAAATTGATTATACTGCGCCGTATAATCTCTCTCCCGTTAAAAAACTTGGAGCGAAATGTAAATGGGATGAAACCATATATATAGGTCAAATAAATTTGATTTCACGAACCGATTTATGTTACTATGATGGTTTGGCTACATTTTACGCGTCGTTAAATAAGTGGTGAAAAAGTTCACAAGCATCAAGATATTTTTTAAACGCGAATTAACCAATCGATCAAATTTTATTTATAATTTGTTTTTTTTTCACCAAACTGGTTAAATCGATCATCATCAAAGCATTTGATCAATTGATTGAACTATGTGTGCACGCAGGACAGTGTTTTATGAAAATAGTACGCGTTAAAAGGTCCAATCCCTACAAACCTATTTAATTACACCGCTTGAAACAAAGGTCGAATGATGAAATGTTTACCTTCATTGTGCAGGGTAAATATGAAATCAAATATGAAATGTTTTCCGTTTACCGTGAAAAATTTATTTGCTTTTTACACGGTGACATCGTAAATGTCATGAACCTCAATCCATCAAATATTACGTCGATTGCAGTCTTTCCTTGTGCCGATTGCATGTAATATTTTTGGTTGAACAGTTGAACGCAGAGATCTTCTATGCATTTTAGGTTAAGTCTTTTAGTAATCAAACATAAGTAACGTAATGAACGGAAATCTTTTACGAACCAATCATCTTTAAGAATGACCTCCAAAGAGATACGGATCGTTGGCTAGTTATTATAAGAACTGAAAAAATTGATTTGATAACGATATCTGACCTATCCAAGTACTTGATTATAACCAGTTGGGCTTAATGTATAATTTATCTATAATAGTAGATATATCCATTTTTATTTATATAAAGATACAATACCGCTGTTTTACATGAGAAGATGCATTGGGATACTTATGATTACATGCAATAGGTTCTAGAACCTTGCGTACCCATCCCTATCTAATTGGCGCTTTTGTAATGAACGACCTTTCTCTTTTTTAATTGTTTACTTTAATCGGCGAATCTAAAGTTTACTAATAATAAATCAGCTTGCTGCATATAAGGAAAGTCCGTTCGATTTAAACATATAAAATATGCAAAATGCTTACCTTTTGAGTTTTACTTCCTTCCTTTTTCTTTTCCTTTCTTTTTTTCCTTTACTTTTTATTTATTGTATACTTTTCGAGTTTATTGTACTTTTCAGGTTTTAACTAATTTTGCATTGACATCTATATCCATACATCTTATATATATATATTTATTCATTCCACAAAAAGATTACAATCATTTCTTGATTTTATTCTACTTTTCTTCCTCATTTTCTCTTGTGAAAAATAGAATAATGAATCATGCAAGTTATTCTTCGAACTTTATTAAACCTTTCACTTTAAATAGTATTGGGAAGTTGACAACCCTCCCATCTCTTCCGGATGATATCCTTTTCATTATCAAAAAGGATTTGGATTTTGCATCGACAATCGCTTTAAGGAGCGCGTGTCGTCAATTGTATTCCGCATTACCAGATTCTCTCTTGTTCTCAAAAATAGTTCTCCCTCCCACCTTAACTCAACAACAGTTTGATAATCTATTCTCTTACCTACTTTCAACGAATAAAACTCAAATTATTCGTAATTTAACATTTGATCAATCACAAGTGACCGAACGTGCTATTATTTCCGTAATGAAACATTGTAAGAATTTACAAGATTTATGCATCTTATCTTGCAAAAATGTTATGTTATTGCCAATGACAAATGCGATGGTACAATGGCATCAGGATAAATCAGGAAATTCCCCGGATTTGAAGGAGTTAAAAAAGATTAACTTGACCAGATGCATCGGTGGGAAAAGACATTCCTTAACCATTAAAAAAGTTATTCAAGATTTACGTAAATTACAATCGAATTCCGAGTCGGAATTATATGATGATTCAATTTCAGCAAAGATCAATTTGATCATAAATTCCACTCCCACTCAATCATTATTGGATGGCGTATTTCAACTTCGAAATTGTCAAGATGATACATGTGAATTTTGTACAATGTCATGTGCGAGTTGTAAAGCAAGGTATAAATATTGGGATGAATTTTGGATAAAGTGTGGATGGTGTAAAGGAAGAAATTTTTGTGGCCCATGTATCACGGAATCTTCAAGGAAGAATAGATTTAAGAATTACGCCTTTCAATTCATGCGGATAAAGTTATGTCAAATGTTTGAATTACCTTGCCCTTATTAAAAAAAAAATACTCGTGTGTGTTTGTATACTTTTTGACCGGAAACATTTTTTTTTTTTTTCGTCAACATCTCATTTTTTTCATAAACCTTGTATATACAGTATAAATTTATAGACAATTTTTTTTCTTTTTGTTCAATCATAAATAAATAAAAAAATAGGGACTCGTAAACAATTGAAATCGTCTACTCCCCCCACATTTATTAATTTTTTAGGAATCAAATCAATAAAATTCAGAAACAACACAATTTTTTTAGGAATTTTTTGTTCATTGCCTGATTTCATGAAGTTGTGCCACTCGGGCCAATAGAATAATAGTATTGATTACTGAATAATAATCTCATTATTCCTTTTGATTTGATTTGATTTAATTTAATTAAAGTAATACTTTACGAAATATGGTTAAAAAAAATCATTAAATGGTAACAGTAGTAAAGGTAAGATTATCGATAAAACATGATTGATTGTTTTAATTGAATCACCAATTGTGAATTTTTCGTGTATTCTTTTTTATTTCACTTAATGCGGCAACATTATCCCATTATCGTAATTGTTATAACTCGAAAAGGTAAAATTATCAGTCATTATAACAGGTATATACTAAGGAAACAGAAAAAATCCGGATATATAATATTTTTTTTTTTTATTGTAATAAAAAGAAAAAATGATAAAATGCAGAATAATATATAATCAACAATATTAGCCCCTTTTTGTTGAATGGTCTTAAAAAAGAAGAATATTAAACAAAGTTTATTCTCAAAAGACAATCCATCATTTGATATATTATAAATAAATATTGACCAATGATCGAGTTTTCTATAAGACAATGATGGTGCATAATGCTATAAAACTAACACTACATAAAGCATCAAAGCATCATCCCTGTGCTCTAAAAATAGTACTTATCAAATGACGTCTTGTACTAGTTATCTTGCCAAGTCAAAAAAGATATTAACCAAATTGCAAAGTACCTTTACAAAAGTTACACGACTCTTTCCTTTCAAAAAAAAATAATTTTTTAATGTCATGCATAAAACGACAGGGATCCTCTAAATTAATTATATTAATTTAAAAGGCGCAGCAGCTTAAAGTGTGACGGAAGAAACCATCCAGTCGAAAAATTGCTTCTTTGTTTATATTTGATTTAATCTACGTAATGAATTTTCCATTTTAGTTTATTTAATCCCGAGGATTTAAAGAAATTTGTTTGGATCATTTTTTGATCTTTGATGAATTTATATTATTCTATTAATATCATTATTTAAGAAAATGAATTGTTAATTTCAAACAGGTTTCATTTAACAATTAGACACAAAGACCCTATTTTTTTTTTCTCCAATATAAATTTGTAATTTTAAAGTTATATAGTTCCGAAAATATATAATTAAAGGAATGATGGTTGTAAAAAATTTTACATGATCTACAAAATTCCGAGATTTTGTATTAAAAAAGAAATATAATATTAAAAATCTCATTCTTGTTTGGATGACGACGTTATATATCAATCATGCTAACCTCTCGCAGCTTAGATTGGGCAAATAAATAATCACCCCCTTCCATTAACCCCCCTAAGTGAAACTTAAATATATATATTTTTTATTTTCGTTCTTTTTACGTAAATAAAAGAAAAAAAATCTCAAAAAATGTTTGAAAGGCTTTGTTAAGGTTGTACAACCTTTTTTTGCCGCCAAATCTTCTTGTTACATTAATTTATTACTCGTGTTCAAAAAAAACAATTTCCCTAATACGCTTTCTGTTCCCTATTTTTGTTATTCTTGTAACTTAATCTGATAATGTTTATTTACTCATCAACCCTCATTTTTTTTTTTGTTCAAAAAGTTGATTGAGATTTTGTTGATCAAAATCTATTCTTTCCTTTGTTATGAATGGATGTACATTCTAATTAATGTACTGTAAGATGTAACAAACGCCTTTTTTTTTTGCTTGCTTTTACATCTCTCAAAACAATTTTGTATAAAAAAATTTTGTGTACTTCATTGAGTTTCGACAACAAATTCTTTTTTTTAAGTATATAAATAAATTAATTCGTTCTCATTGTGATTTTTTTTTCTATTTTACAAAGAAAAATATTCATTTTTATTCCTTTATCATCCATCTCTCTCTCTTTAAATATAATCTTTCACTTTCGTTTCAAAACTCATATCATTTCATTCATTCATTCATTTTATTTTGTAGTATAAAACTTAATTCCATCTTTTTTTTCAAGAATGGGTAATAATAATTCATCTAAAAGTAATAAATCGAAAAGTCGTAAAAATAAGCAACATATATCTGTAGAAACGGAATTATGTCAGGAATCGAGAAACTTGATATTTCACTTACCAAAGAATGATCAAGATATCGATAGGATGCAATTACAGCATTTCCTATTTGAACACATTTGGAAAAGTAATTATTCCTCTCCAATCGAACATAAATTGAAATCGTGCGATTTTAAAGTCTTGGATGTTGGGTAAATTTCCTTTTCTTCCTTTATTTTCTTGATCCATCTATTTTCTCCGTTTTTATTAACGAAATCTGTCCCCCCTTCCAGATGCGGGCCGGGAACATGGCTTCTCGAAATGTCCACACAACATCCTTTAGTAAAGTTCGTTGGTGTTGACATCGTCCCAGTCTTTCCATCAGAAATAAAACCAACGAACTTGGACTTCCACAAATGCGATATAAATCAAGGTTTACCCTTTAAAGACAATTATTTTGACTTTGTTAGGATGAGTTTGATTGCTACTTCCCTCAAGGGTGATCAATGGAATGACGCCATAAGGGAGTTAGTTAGGTAACTATTAAAGAAAGTGTATTCCTCTTTATGATTCTTTATTGATCACCTAGAAATATCATTTCATTTTATAGAGTATTAAAACCTAATGGTTATTTGGAAATAGTGGAAAAAGATTTACAAGCATCTAACCAAGGTCCATGCTTTAAATTTTTAACTGACAAATGTAAGTGTAGATATATATATTTGATTCATCTTGTTTTACTAATTTCCCCCCTTCAATTATTAATCCCTTTATTTCTTTCAATTCTACACAAAAAAAAAGTCCTTAATTTCATAACATCAACCGGCGTAAACGTTCACATAACACAACAAATTCCCACCATTCTTTCCTCAATCCCGTCATTAACCGAAATCCGGTCAGATGTTCGTGAAATTCCAGTTGGCCCCCTCGGTGGTAAATTTGGTACCATATATGAAGAATTGTTGGAAATGTACATTAAAAATAATTTAATTGATATTTTACCAAATTATATGTGCATAAATGAGGATCAATATTTGGACATATGGAAATGTTGTCAATTAGAATTTACCAAATTTGCGACAAACTATAAATTATTTAGATTTTGGGCTCAAAAAGTTGTAGATAACGAGGAAGAAGTTGACAACTTTATATAGCAATATATAGAACAATTGTCTTAGAAAGTTAGAATCAATTGTAAACCTAATGAACCTTGTATATATATCCAAATACACAATAACGCACGAATTTATACATAAACCTTTTTTCCTAACCTCAAACTAATAAAATTATTTTTTTTCTCTGGAAGGAAAAATTTTTTAATCTTTTTATTTTCGATCGAAGGTTAGTTACATTTCTCGCGGTACGAATTAGTTTTTTTTTAAAATGGAGGGAATAATGTAAAAAAAAAATAAAAAATAAGAATAAATAAATAAGAAGAATAATAATAAATAATTCTGCCCGAATTTTAATGACCGGAATTCGACAAATTTTCAATTTTCGCAAATTTTCGTAATTAATGATTTTTTATCTGTATCAAAAAGTGAATTCCAAACTCATAAAACCAAAGCGTGTTACCGAACTTCAAAATGAGCATAGCCGCATTTCAAAAAAAAAAATTGATGTATATAATTTTTTTTTTTTTGGTGAAATAAAAAGAAGGTAAATAAAATGCCAGCTGACAAAATTGAGCTTTGAAAAATGCATTATTATTTAGTTACTCAACAAATTGTGAAAATTATCACGGAAGCGTTGTTTGTTGCACTGATTAATTTCGTTGATAAGGTTATTTAACGGAACGTTCATTTACCGTATTATGAAATTGCCGTCCTTCGCCACATTTATTTATTTTGAATCATTTCTATTGTGATGAGTCTATTCTCATCACGTGAAAACTCAATTTTTTATTAGGAAATATGAAAATCAAATTTAATAAAAAACAACCATTTCTCAAAAAGAAAATTCCATCCGGATCATAAAAACCATCTTTTGACCGGTTTTAAGACCCACATCCACGCGAGGTTGTTTGTTTTGGTTTTTTTTTAAAAATGGTTGGTAACAAAATTATATAGATAATCTAGTCCAAATTTCGGTCTAATAGATTCCGGTTCTTAAAATTATTGATATACGGTCTCCTTCAGATGCCGGAAACATGAATTGAAAAGACCCTAACTATTAAAAATGTTATACAAATACTGTAAATGTTTTCAAAATTCTTTTTTATGAATATAAAACCTTCGATAAATTTATCAAAATGATTATTCTTTCCTCTCATACCGAAAATATCCGATATAACTGTAAATTGTTCATTAAAATCAATAACTCAATAACTCAATCTCATATCATCATCGCTTAAAATTTTTATTATTAAAGAAATTATATTTCTTTTTATCTTTGGTTTTCATCAAATACTTTTCTTCACTTTTTTCTTTTCTTCGATTCTACCATAATTATAGCATTCACACGATTCATAAATTTATTAGACCATGTATCAAAAATAAAAATGTTTTTTTTTTTTTAATTTCGAAGCAGTATTTCTTTAACATTAAAAACTTAATCACACCACTCTTCAATATTCAACGCATAATTCTTGTCATTAATCATTAATCTTGTTCTGAATTTACCAACAAATGCACAAATTTCCCCTTGATCTTCTTCTTTGGTTGGTACGTATCGGGCAGAGTAAAATCTATTTCGACATCCCAGTAAACTTTCGTTAACAAAGAGAACGTGAGGCCAAGCCCCATGTTGTCTCTGTTCTTGATTTTCCAATGATACAGATCGATTTCAGACGTCCCTCAATACATTTATCACAATTCTTCCCTTTCCATGCAGCAACTTTTAATTGGAACTTGTAAATTCTCGGTAAATTTGTTTCTCTCGTCATGATTTTAATTATCGTAATAGTATTCAAAAATTAAAATATTCGAGAAAATTCTTTTCTTTAACCTTATTTAAAAAGAAAATTTTTAATAATTATAAAATTATTACTTTTTCAACTTTTTTTCATCTAAATCCATTCTCCTCTTCATTCTAACAGCCATTACTTCAAATCAATTCTAATAATCCTCGCATTCAAAACATCATTATAATATCTAGTGAACATCACATCATCTATCGGAAAATCCACTCAAAACAACCATATAAAAATTTCGACACTTACATTATTTGTAAACAATCTAAAGAATTATTTATCACAAATTAGTTGAAGTGGCGCGCCGCACAAAAGATTTTGATTATCTGAAATATGCAGGCGAAAAGTAGACAAATTAATTTGTAAGTAGATCCAAATCAAGTAAAGAAAAGCGTAACATCGGTAATTTCATAGTTTAATTGTTTTATTTTTTTTTTAATTTATGTTAAATTAAGACTATGAAATCGACTTTTTAGCATAGGATCTTAGGAAATTATTGTTCATAAAATTTCGAAGAATCCAACGACACATTAAGTAGGATTTTAATTTAACGTGAATTTTACCTTAACTATACGGATTTATACGCTCCACGAAATATAAAAAATTATCATCTTCAAAAATAATAATATCCTCCAACACGAATAAAAGAATAATTCTTTTGGAGTTCTTTCTCCTATTTGAAGATATTGTTTAGACTAGATCATCTTTAACCCAATCTGAAATCTAGAAATTCAATAAGTTAAATAAGTTAACGCTTTCTTCTATGAATTCACCATAATATTCATAATAATAAAAAGAACATTTATACTTTAAAAGATATATTATGAAATTTCCTTATTGGAATTCTTTTATAACATTCTGCAGGTACATCGATCGCTTATATTGGTTGTATTTGGTAAATTCATATAAAGTAAAGCGCTCTCACAACGTGTACAAATGGTCTATCCAAAAAAAAAAAAAAAAAAAAAAAGAGATTGAAAATGTCTAATGATTATAAAAATAAATCATTGTCGTGCTATTTCAGAATTTTTTTTTTTTTTTAAAGAAAAAAATAAATAAAAATAAATAGAATTTATACCTTATTTGGTTTTTCATTTCGAATTCAAAAAAAAAAAAAAGAGTAATAAATAAATCAATCAATCAGATATTAATGAAATCTCACAATGAAGGCGCAAAAAATTTTATTCATTCAAAAATAATTCAATTTTAAAGTGTAGACAGACAGACATTCCCACTCGAGTAATTTCATTGTAACATCTATTTTTTTTTTTTTAAAAAAAAAAGAAAATAAAAATGCATTTAATTTTTATAGATCAATATGGAATGTACTACATTTGGTTAATTTATATTCTCGCGAAAAATGATTGCTACTTTGTTATTCGCGAAATCATTTTTTTTAAACATGATATCCTTGAGCTAAAAATAACTTTAATCCCACCTTTGGAAAATTCATGGAGATCGAATCTCAATATATTCGTTCCCTAATGAAACATCGTTATCATAAGAATTCAACAAGTATATAAACACTTTCTGATTCTCCTTCCAAAGTCAGTTCTTCAGTTCTTATCAAATAAAAAAAATTAAAACTATGAAGAGGAAAAAAAAATTTAAATCGTCCTTTACAACGAAATTAACTAATCATGAAATTCAATTCTGCTCTGTTGCTGCTTGCATTTGCAGGACCCATCCTATTGGACGGAGTCGCTGAAGGTAAGAAGAAAATGAAATATCAATACGTATCCATCAAGTTAAATTAATTATTTTCTAAATTCATTATAATTAGTTAAAAAACGTGACGCCGTTGCCAATTCTAACTACCAACAAAAACCAAAAGAGATACAAGCCATATTAAAAACCACACTACAAATGTGACGTTGAAGAAAAGTTTTAGAATTTGCCATTATAGATTTATTTCAATCTTCAATGTTTCTTTTATGATGGATTGGATTTATGATAGAGTATTTAACGATGCGGTTTTTTAAATAATCATAGTTTGGCTTTTCTTTTTTATTAATTATATTACCTGATATTGGAGGAATTTTGTATATTTATTTTTTTTGAATGCAAATATTCATAGTTAACTTAGTTCTTGTTTTGAACTATTAATCTCGAATGATTTTTATCTTTCGCCGCACAATTGTCATTTTTGTAAATTAAAAACATCTTCTTTTCATTATTGTATTAATTAGTTTTATTAAATCGTTTAGATTATAATTTAATGATTTAATAAAGTTTAAAAAAAAATTCGTGTCGCGTGTCTGATTGCAAATTTTACCATTTGCTATTACATGTTAAAGTCTAGCTCCGCAACGAATTTTATTGGCTAATTAAGCATGCAAATCGACTTTAATTATAAACTAAATAAAAACTACATAAAACAATCGAAAATTTAATAATTTTAAAGCAACAAATGCAACAAATACGATTTATTGTCGTTGTCATTTAATGATATTATTGAAAATTCTTCACGACACAACAAATTTACCGTTATTAACTTAAGAATACAATTTTATTGGCCGGATTGAGCAACAAAGCGTTGATAAATAATTATTTTATTTTTTTTTCGTTGTATGCTAAATACATTTTATCAATTTTCAAAAAATCATTCCATCATTGTTTGATTGCACAAATCTCTACATAAATGCTTGACACCAATCAGTAAAAGAAAATAACAGAAAATTCCTACTATTCATATTATAATTTGATAACCAAATTAGCCAAAAGTTTTATTCTGGTGTTACCACGCGATTCCTAATCATTATAAGAATGCTGTTTGGATTTTGTTTAACGTAATTATCATTATCTCTCATCGTTCGTTAAGGTTAACTAACCACCTACCGTTCGTCGCCTCAAACCAACCTGTACTCACTCTTTATCCTTTCCCTCCCTTATTCCTTCCTGCATCTTCCTTCTCCTGCCATCTTGTATACGTTAGGGCCAAGTACATAATATATATATATATATACATTAACATTTAATACATTGTGCATTAACATTCCTCACCGCAATTTGTAAATATGTCTTGGCCATTTACCACCCTTCGTATCCTTTATCCCCTTCTCTCACTTTTCTCGTTAATTATCATTTCATTACTTTCCACCTGGGTCTCCTCCACAAATTCGTTTTCCACCTCATTCGATTCTTATTACAAGAATATCACCAAGAAACAATTCCATTCATCACCAAACTTTCCAATAGAAATTTATTTAGGATTCATCTTTAGCATAATTTCGCTTATATTTTCGGCTGTTTTAAGTTTTCCCAGAATTTCACGTAAATTTGGTTATAAAGTTTTTGTATATTTAACAAATACATTTTTATCAATTGTTTGGTTTCTACTTTCAATTTTAATTATAACAAGAGTAAATAATGGATCTATAATTGATTCAAAAAACATAACTGATCAATTACAGAAAGAAATTAATGAATTACATACTGAATATGCGTCAGAAGAAGCTATTCCTGATACCGATAATTTATTATCTTTTGGAAAAGCAATCACCGCTTTCGGTTGGATTCAATTCTTGGGTTGGACTTTAATAACAATTATCTTGGCTCATATTCGTTCTCGTAAATGGACAAAGAAAGATCGAAATAAGAAAATTACTATTGTGAGTCAATATGATAAGGATGCTCAATTGTTAAATACCCCTGCTATTTTGAAGGAAATTGATGAATTGGTGAGAAATCCTCAAATTGCGCATACCACAAAGGACCCTTCATCGAAAACTCCTGTGATGGAATTGAATTTGCAACTTACCAAAAATACAACCACAACTTATTCACTCGATCCCGCCTCATTTACCCCTACTCAAAGTCCCGAAGTTGATTTTTACTCTCGCGCTTTGTATGATTATAAATAATAATTGGATAATAGAATCATTTAATTAAATAAATTTTTATAATAATCAAGTTCATTTAGATTTTATATATCAATCATAATTTCCCCCGATTACATTTTTAGTACGAGGAATGATAGTTACTAATAAAGAAAATAATTATATAAAAAAGAAAAAAAAAAATACAAAAAAATACAAAATTTGCATACATATCAAATTATAAATTGTTGCGTTGCTTTCAATTGACGAAATGGCAAAATATTTATATTAAACAGTTAAATTCTTCACGTTTTTAAATTGGAAACATTTTGTCATAAATTACAATATAAAGTTGGAAAGGTTTACGCCGAAAATGTTCTTTTAACATCTCATTAGGTTACCTAAAGAATTGGTAGAAAAGTTTTGCATTGAAGCACTATTTCTCTTGAACATTCTCAAAATGAATCTATAAAAGAAATGAATGGAGGTTTGACGTAGCACTTTCAAAAATATAACTTATGCATACTTGAAAATACGAGCTCAAGAGCGATCAATGCTATAATAACGCGCTGTTCCATTATAGAAAAATTTTGTCCCAATTAAAAAATTTAATCCAATTTCTCACAAGAACAACATAACTGATCTTTGGGGTAAATAATATATGCTTGTGATAAATAGGCACCTTTTTAAATCCCGAATAAAGTCTTAGAGATCTAATTCACATTTTTTTATAAAAATAATAAAAAAAAAAAAAGATATATAAAAAGAGAGGAAAAGAAAAGAAATAAGGGATATATATATAAGGAAAAGTTTTTAATTTAATGCAGACATATATTGACTTGTTTTATTTGTCAGAAAGCTTTTGAGAGCTTCTAATATATATATATATATTGCTATTTTTATTAAAATTTATACTTTTGAAAGTAAATTTTCACCCTTAGTAATCATGTCGCTGATTTATATCTATAAGAATATATTCAAATTTATCTATTACCTTTCCGTTTGTAAAAGTTAAACTCTCAAATAAACTATTTCTCTAAATTGGATAATTCATTTATTGTACTAAACATTACTATAACATACTATACAGTACCTGATCACATAAAATAATCCATATTCGATAAAAAAAAAAAAAAATGATAAACTAGGATTCTAAAAAAAACTTTATTATATAAATAATGCAAAAAAAAAATTGTTCTTTGTCGAAAAACTTTACGTATATTTTATTAAAATTAAATTAATCTTCAGTCACGTGATTTATATTAAATTTGATCAAAATGGCATTATATAGTTCCAAATTAGAATTTAAGTATTAAGAGTATTATAAAAGCTTAATCTAGTTCAATCTAATAACAATCAATAAATAATTATCTCTAAAGTCTATAAAAAAAATCTATTCATAATCTACAAAAAAAATCACAAAGAATCTAATTGATTAAAATACTAATAAAGTAAATAAAAAAATAAAAAAAAATAAAAAAAATTACTAGTTGGAGCACGGATTCATTTAGTATTTAAACACCCTGTCCAAAATCTCACAATTGGTAAATCATTTTCGTTTATATCTATTAGTTTAATAAATTCTATTTGTTTAGTTAAATCAATATTTGGTAAGACATTCCCTCCATTAATATTTCCTGTAACAAATCGGAGAAACTGCTTTGCTTTACTGTAATAAATATAGTAATTAAACGAATTATTATATTAATAAAAGTAACAAACGGCAAAAATACAAAAATCATACCATGACCATTGTTCTTTAAAGATCATTAATCTAATATTCATTAATTCATTTGGCAAATTTAATTTCAAAATTCCTGTCAATTGATTTATAAATGAATTAGGTGCAGAATGATTCCGGTTATCATCAAAGCCATATTGTATATTAAACTTGAATGTATTCATCACGGTCTTATCATCTTTAAGCGTATCACAGTCTTGTGAAATATGTTTGCAAATGTTAAGGTTATTAAATAAATTATTTTCTTAAAAAAATTAAAAAGCTTAAGGATATCTAACAAACACAAAGTTGATTTGTTTATATGGTTTGGTATCTGTGCTGTTGCATTTAGACCGAGAATATTATATTTCGTTAAGGGTTGATAATTATTTTCATTTTCCACTATTGAACAACATTCACTTGGAACGAAATCCTTTTTGTTTAAGAAAGCAAAAATAATATAATTATAAATATATAATGAGCAATGATTATTTAAACATTTACTAACCTTCAATATATTAATGAGGCATCGCAAAATTATCGGGTCATTTCCTCTGATTACTAATTGATTACCCTTGACAAAATTTAAAATTAGTTTTCTAAAAGCATTTAAACCCAAAATACTTTGTAAAGCTTTCAAATCCCCAATCATGACTTCATTATCTCCTTTCAAACCATTTAAACCAAAAGGCGGGGGTTGGTAAGTCGTCATGGGATCAAGTAACATTAACGTCTTTGGTGAGAACACAGAACTTGGAAACTAAATAAATAAGTATACGTTAAATTTTAAATGTTATATACAATCACAAATCTATAAGATCAAATTCTTAAGTAATAATGATGATAAATTTTACCAGCGTTTGATCATTTACATGACTTTCTTGTAAACGTCTGCCGCAAGCTTTTAAGATCCAACTGAAATTTGCATGTAATTTGACAAACAAGTCCTTTTTTTTTTATATAGGTTTAAAAATTTATCAGACAAACAAAAAATAACATAATTTCGATGAATTCCATTTTTGACATAAATCAACCTTTGATTTTAATAAATCAACTAAAGATCTTAATGGTTGATTTGCTCTGCGCCGAAGAAATTGATCTAGTAAAGTTTTAAGTTAAATTAATATTAATAAATTAATAAATAATATATATGTCGGTTACAAAACCTGGCGATGTAGGGGGAAGTGGTCCGGAACGCGTAACAAATGTCCCATCGTTTCTCTCCTCCTTTGCTGTATCCTCTTTTTCGAAAACCAAATTTGCTTTTGATTGAATATCTGTTGCTATCATACGAAACTTACTTAAAACCAAAATTAAAATGAAGAATTTATTAACATTCAATTGTAAAAGAAAATAAATAAATAAATAAAATACTAACCTAACTATCAATGGCCAGGACTCAACAAGATATACTCTATCTGTCATCAAAAATATAAAGCTGTACCATCTATGAAAACCTCTTGCCTGACTATCTTTAATTTTGAACATGTAGCTCAGAACATAACCATTTTTATTATCACCAAACAAAACAGACCCTTCTCTTCCTTGGCAGAATTCGCAGCTCAAACTTAAAAAATTTACAATTATAATTAAATTTAGCCTAAATAAAATAAAAATAAGTACTCTTTACATGTTACCTTCTCACGCAAGCTTGTCTTACTGCAGCATATAGTTGTTGTTCTTGTGGATATCGGGAACCCTTGTAAGTTACCAAAGGATTTTCTTCGTCTTGAGTTTTGAAACCTTTTATTTCAGAATTGTATATCGGCTTTGCATCACCTAATGCATCTAAAGGAGGCAATGAAAATGCACATGACGCACAAGATGCTGGTGCAGGTCTATTGGAATTTATAGAAGGTTCTTTTTTATTCGATAATGTTTCTTTAGAATTATCCAAATGTGGTTGGTCTACTAGAGAAGTTCCTTCACTACTAACAGAAAGATGATCTAAAGTATCTTTTGCATGAAAGGCCTGTGTACAAAAAATTACACTTGGTCCATCAACCTCGCAAAAGTGTACAAGAGACACAATTGCATTCATTGTGTACCAAAAAAAAAATGAAAAAAGAACAGTGTAAAACATTCAACAGCTTACGTTCACTTAAATTGATATACAATATCAATATCCGATGATCTTGACTGATTAAGTAAGTTTACATGTTTACATTTCAAAAAAATTTTCATATGGCTTTGAAGTATGGATGTCTAAATTCAATTATTTCCTTTATACTTGATATATTTGCCCACGAATTCCGTCTTTGATTGTGCCATATTCTAAGCCTGTTAACAATTTATACAAAAAAAATTCTTGGCCGTTGTAAAAAAAATGTTCTTATTAAACCGATTAAACAAGGAATTTAAAAACTCTGTTAATTTGGATTGAAATTTTTAAAACGTTTTTTGTTACCATTCTCTTTTTTTTTTAATTTTAACCATATATGTTTATCAACCTAAATTCCATGGCCTTGGTTGACAAAATCTCCTTTTCGATCCAATATGTTGTGACACTGCCAAACACATATTCTACAAGTTTAAATGGTGTCGCAATATTTATTTCATGTATTTTGCTAAATTACAATTAATACAAACAAGTGTAATATAGTTTTTTAAAATTTGTACCAAAACCTCCTAATATTATCAATTCATATTACTAATATACTAAAATCCTCACTTTTGTTTTAAAGGTTAAAGATACAATATAATTTTATCATATTCACTATAATTAAAACATATAACAATATAATGAACATAGATTCTCTAAAAATAAAATAGAACAAAAATATAATTAAAATATTAGTACAAAGAAAAGCTATAAATAAAAAAACTATTCTTTGATGAGATTATTTCATTCAAAGTTCGAACCAGATAATCTATTGGTTTTATCTATACTTAAATTTCTTCCTGCTCGACTATTTGGCCTACTTAGACCTATCGTCCCTGTTACAACACTTGACGCTGATGACATATCAGTAGAATTATTACTATTCTGGCCTAAACTAGTACTAATTGTGGGTAACATAGAATTTCTAGGTGATGATGTTGACGTTGGAAAACTAAATGATTTTGTAGATGTCGAATAACTTGTTTGTTCTACTGAAGTTGGAGGATTTTTCAGATCAGTGGCTTCATATCCAACAACTCCTCCATCTTCATGTTCATCTCCCATCCATCCTAAATTGGTGGTTGACTTTGACCCACGTCCTAATGGATAATTCGGACTGATATTATTTGATAGAGACATTCCAGAATCATTATATCCTCCATTATTTGAACCCGATTGTCCTCCTAAGCTGATACTGCTAGCATTTAATCCCGAACGATCCTTAAATTTTCCGAGGTTAGTTAAGCTACTATTTCTTGACTGTAATCCAGTTAATGATAAGTTAACTGGTGTCGAAAATCCTTTATTAATACCTTCATTAGGTATTACACTATCTCCACTAAATCGTTTCTTTGATAGATAACGAGTTGAAGAGAAATAAGGTGGAAATTGAGAATTTTGTTCTGTGGGTGATGTCCCTATCTCTAAACTAGGGGAAGCAGGTGTTTCGGTAATCGTAATTGTTGAATTCGAAGTAACGTCAAAAGACGATGACTGTCGAAGATGAATCATTTCTTCTCCTTCGTCTCCTGGTACTACTGTTACTGATACATCTTCGCCTGAATTATCTCCTTTTTTAGTGAAAAATTTTCGAAATGGCGAAGATAATTGAAGAAATTTCCATCTAGAATAACTTATAACTCGGTTATACCAAGAGGAAAATCCAGTAGAAGGATATTGTCCTCCTTCCAATTTCCCATAATCCGGCCCACCATCTCTCGCCCCTTTTCGCACCGAAGAAAGAAAACAAGAATATAAAAATCCAATACTTACCCTTCTTCCCTTTCCAAGTCCATTCTTGCGCAAACATGTAAACCAAATAAAAATCAATAACATTACTAAGATTGAAATTCCGATCATCCATTCAACTAAATAATTATAATATCCAAGTAAACCATGACCTTGGGGCTGCGGTGGAGGATGTGGGTGTGGTCCCCATAATAAGGGTATGGTACTTGACGCCTCCATAACCATTTTCCCAAGAGTCCAACTAACCTGCACGTCATTAATATTATTAATGCTTTGAAAATGTGGAGATTTCCTAACTTTATCTTTTATTTTGTTATCAGGATTGCCCGAATCATCATCAATCATCCTTGGAACTCCGATACCTTCATGCAACACATTAACTAACCACGCTGCTTTGAAACATTGCATTTCTAATCTTGTTAAATCTACATTATTGTTCCATTCTTTTCCTTCATGGTGATTCATCACAATACTATCCCATTCTTTTGCACAGTAATCATTTGCTTTCCTCTCAAATTCCGCAAAATCCCAAATTCCACCTAATCCAAAAACATCTTGTGAAGAATACCAATATTCTGATATACCAACGAAATGATTGACGGAAAAATCAATATTTGGTGTGTGAACGCCATTGAATAAACAAGGATCGTCTAGACAAGGAGCGGTTTTATTTAATAAAGGATATGTAAGTTCAAGACATTGACTAAAAGAACCTGACCCCTGAAGGGTATAATAAGGAGGTGGAAGTGAAGTATCCGTAAGAAGTAAATTAACTGGCAAACATGGATCTTTAATTAAAACGGTCGGTTGCTCGCGAGATGTTTCTGGATTAGTAATCTGTTCATGTGTTGCTGTGTACTTCTGAATTTGATCTTCTATATACCTACGTCTTGCTTCGTTCGTTCCAAATCCTAAAAATGTTGTAACAAATACATTGTATTCTACTTTTTCACCGTCCAACGTATACAATGTAACTTTAGTTAAATCATCCGCATGTTTTTTTGACTCTAATGAATTTGGTTCAAAAGCTATTTGTGTACTAGCACCTCCCATATCTAAAAAACCATATGTTGTGGTGTGTTTAATTTTCTCAGAATTATTATCAATATCATCGAACTTTCCTAAATCATTTTTTTGTCGTGATTGAATTATATGTTCTTTCCCACTATCATTTTCAAATCCACTCATCAGATAATTAACTGCAATCCACCCATAAATTCCTTCCCATTCTCCTGATATTACTTGTACATGATCTGAGCATTTACCAATTTTGAAGACATAATTAAACATTATATAATCGCATGCATTTTGAAGGATCGCTTGTTGTTGAAGTGATGGTAGTAACCGCATTCCAGCGGTGGCTAATAAATATACAGGTGTTTGTGAAATTTCATTCAATGGTACTACTTGCAACGCGAAATCTAATAATTTTTTCAAATGTAAATCTCCCACTTCTGTTGGATTCGTTGCAAACGTTGATATCCCTGTTCAAAAATTAGATCAAATAATTGGATGTACAAAATTAATAATGAGAAATTTTTTTGGTTTTCACTTTCTATGAAAGGGATCACAAGTTGGAATTTAATTAAAAGCGAAACCATAAAGTTAAAAAAAGAAAGGACAGAACGTTCATACCATACCTGGTTCAACTTTTAATTGCCATTCTAGTCCAAACTCATCCCCTCGCTCGATAGCTGGTAAGATGTGAAGTTCGTCTTCATTTTTTACTTGTCTAACAAACCCATGTTCTTTCCAAGAATAAATTTGTACTCTTGAACCAGAACTACCAGCGTCTATAACAACTCCAAAATTTCTGTGAGAAAGCCAAGAATTTTTAGGTGGAGGCATTGTTCGTCTTTTATTATATTAAATTACAAAAATAAAAAAAAAAATAAAAAAATATACATTTATCTCTTGTAAGTTACAAAAATAATAAATTGGTATTTAATCTACATATCTGCACAATGGTTACATGTAAATGAAAATCAACTATCGTTCTATGATAAAAATAAAAGGTGTGGCTGTAAGAAAGAAAGAGGCTGTGACAGTTAAAAAAATTATGGTTCGACCAAATTTTTTTTTTTTTTTTTTTTTGAGAAACTTTTTGTTTGTCGAAAATATTTATAATTCTTGTGTAAACACAAATTGACCCGTGATATGGCGTATAATGTAATAAAGTTCGCGTAATTAATACATCATCATGATGAAAGATATTAATTTCATTTTTAAATATAAGGGAAAAGAATTTTTTTTCCTTTTTCAATTTACGTTTCGAAAAATGTCACAAACTGAAATCCCATGCTTTAATAATAACGATAATGAATCATTGATCTTATCTTTTAATGGCGATGCAAATCACGAGTATAAAAAAATAAACGAAAATCTCGGAATCGTTCGTGATGTTATAAGAAATTTAGTACCTTTGGGTGCGATTAAAGTAGCCGAAAATATTATAATTGAGCCGGTTGTTGATTATGTATTCGAGAGTTGTAAACGCGACCCGAATATGGTTTTTGTTACTTTATACTATGCAAGAGGGTTACAAGAAATAGATCATCATGAAGGTGATAGTGGAGGTCCAGCTTTGAGGGATATGAGAAAAAAGAGGATTGATTGTAGCGAGTTGTTGGCTAGAGAATTGTAAGTAAAAAAACGTTCGTAAAATGTAAAATGTAAGCTTATTTGCTATAACTGACAATTTCTATGAAAAATTCTTATAATTGACCAAAGAGTTCATAAATTTAATGATCAAGAGCTTTTATTCACAAAAGTACTGACTAAACGTTACGCATTTTCACAATATGAAGACATCAGCAACCGCAAGAATGGTATTTATTATGTCACCTCGCAATTTTCCATGCCTCACATTTATAATTCATTTACATTTTTCATATAGCTTTGGATCTCGCAATAAAACTTTATTCCGAAATGGGCAATTGCGGCGCAGTTTTCTTGTCTGATAATGAAGTTCAAGCGTGTGTTTATGTAAATATCTAAAAAAATTGCGAGCAATAATGTTTTAAACTTCCAATTTCTAATTTCTAATATTTTCGTACCTAGGCATTATGGTCTGGTCACTTAATACCACGAATTTCTTGTACATTCCCAACTTTGGCCGTAATTGATTATTACATTCCAAGACATAATTTAATTTGCTTGGAAAATTTCAAGAATTTAGAATTATTAAATATTCCCAGGAATCAATATTTACTTGACGTTTTCGCATATATTATGTTTTTGATAATTTATACTATGGTCGCGGCTAATTATGATGGGAGACGTGAATTCAATAGCCCTTTGGAAGGATCAATGTACCTTTTAGTGTTTTCCTTTATATTACATGATATTCGTACAGTAAGTTTAACGTTCTAAATTAGATAATTGCGCCAACTTTTCAGATTTATTGTAATCTCTGTTTTTTTTTTTGTAGCTAAAAAAACATGGGATCAAGGAATTCTTATATTTTCGAAGAATAATTTCTGTTATTCTTCATATTATTTTAGCCACCGACTTTATACTTAGAATTAAAAACCTTACTAGTTCTGATCAATCTATCCTCAATTGCATAGAAAATCTCTCTCATTGGTTCCTATATTTCTATACTGGCGTGTTCTTTTAACTTTGGAAGCATTTCAACCAATTGGAAGATGGTTAACACAAATTTCAAGAATCTTAAAGAAGAGCATGTCATATTATATCTTATTAGCTTTAGCATATATTGCATTCTTTCAATCATTTTTGGTGCTTGAAAACACTCATAAACATCATGCCGGTGATGATCGTTTAGATGATAAAAATGAATGGAACATTTTCACACTTTTAATCAAAGGAATATTAAAGTAAGAGTTTTTTTTTACTTAAAAATTTTTAAATAAATATATATATATATATATACTTAATTGAATATAGTGCACCGGATTTCCCAGGCGCGAACAGAATTGAGAATAGATTTGGCTTCGTATTATACTCTGTTTATGTTTTTACAGTCAGTGTTATTTTATTTGCCGTTTTACTTCCACTCTTTATGACAGCATTCACTACTAGACGTACAGTTCCCGAAGAATATTTAGCACACTTTGCACTTATAGTCATAAGAAAAGTAAGACACAATCAACCAACCAGATACAATTATCCGGCGCCATTTAATTTCTTATATTATACAATCGTTGTGCCAATAAGTTCAATAAGTTTTATTATTAGACAAAACCATAATTGTTTGTATCCAAATATTGAAAAATTTTTAACGAGAATTATTTTTTTTATTCCAATGATTGTTTTTGCTTTAATTGAAACACATTTTGTTAATGATAAACAAGATAAAGAGGCTAGAGATTTAGACTTGAGAGAATTACCGGGTTTACCTTTTCCCGAAGATGAAAAGCAAATGCTTAGAAGAATATTGCATGGATTAGATTCGATTAAGGAACAATACAAAAGTCTTCATTCTAGGTTAGAAACTATAGAATCACAATTAACATAAAATTTATTATTTATCTGTATATTATGTTTTTTTTTCTGTCGGTTTAAATTAGATGGGTGGTTTTATTATTAGATGAACTTTATACATTAATTTGTAAAATAAAATAAAGCAACATATTTATTATTAATCCTTTTAAAAATGCAAATATAAAAAATTAAACCAACTACCGATTGCCCCGTATGATAGTTACACATATAACTCTACTTTCCTGATTATGTATTCAAGTTACACCAAAGCCAATGTATATATGTTGTTACCGAGTTTTTCTTTGATTTTTCACAAAGTTGTTTTGAGATTAGAAATTATTCAAAATGTCAAGAGATGAATATAGTGTGGTCGTCGAAGTTGATGACGAAGTAAGTATCTAATGGAAAATTGGTTATTTTCTAAAATTATTTATACTAAAGTTATCCAATCTCTAATCTAAGTCTCCTGTTCGAAGAGAAGAGCTAGAGTTTCAAGGTTATTCTTTCTTTTTCTTTTGTATTATAGGTGTCTCTTAGGTGTTTATACTATTTTTATTGCTTTTTCTTAACCCGATCTGATACTTGTACGTATAGATTTTTCTTCTACTTCTGGAGTTGGTGGTAACATATCACAAGATAAACAAGCAAACTCTAGTAGTGACGGTATTTATCAATTTATTATCAATTTTATCTTGCTACAATTATTTGTTTATATTTAAATTTTATTAAATAATTTAATAGGTTTTAACAATGCAACATTTTTCGATCCACATCAGTCAATTCGAAATGAATCACAAGGCGGTTCATACCCTTTATGGTCAATTGAATATTATGCTCAATATTTCGACGTAGATACCGATCAGGTTTGTTTTATTATAAACATATTTATATACTTTTATCTTGTCGTTTTTATTAATTATGATCTTTTTTTTAAAGGTTCTTGAAAGAGCATCAAAAAGTCTTTTTCCCAAAGATAATTTTAATGATGTGGTTGGACCAAATCCTGATTTATATGGTACACTCCAATTTTGTATTAGGTTTCCAATTAATTATTTATCATTATTCTAATTATTTTACTAATTATTTTATTAAGGACCTTTTTGGATATCCACAACTGTTATATTCTTACTTTTTGTAACAGCGACAATTGCCAAATCAATTGCAGCTATTATTTCAAAGGGAAATCCTAATTATGATATTACAATTTTATCATTTGGTTTTGCTGCCATTTACACATATTCTTTTGTCATACCATTTATTGTTTGGGGTGCATTAAAATATCTTGGCTGTAGACCTTCATTATTGAATACTATTGGTTTATATGGTTATGGTTTAACTATATGGTTGCCTATTTCTGTATGTATATTTATCATTTATTATTATTATTTTATTTCTTTTAAATAGGTTGATTTTCTTACTAATAATCAATATAATAATTATCATAATGTTAAGATTATTAATGTTATTCCTTCCGACACGGTTCGATGGGCTCTTGTGATTTTTGGATTTGCAATTTCGGGATTTTTTATATCAAGAAATCTTTATCCAGTTATATCAAGAGCTGATTCGAAAACTTCTAGATTATTCTTAATTTTTGTGATAGCAGCTCATGCTGCATTCTCTTTATTACTTAAATTCAAATTTTTTTCATATCAAGTAGATTGGGATCAATCTAATCCTAAACATTAATTTTTATATATTTTGGTAAGTGTTTTTTTTTTTTTTTAAAAAAAAAAAAGTAATTTGGAGTATGAAGAATAATAATAATATCTATTTATTTATTTTTTTTAGTGAATATTTTAAATAAAATAAACTAACTAATATATATTATTAGTATTACGTAACTGATTTTTTTTATTAATCGTTATACAAAATATATAATCCATTAAGTAAAATTAAAAACAGATTAATTACTATTAGTTAAAAAGAAAGCACTAAAAATAATATACAAAAAGAAATAAAAAATTACAAAAATTAAAAAATTTAAACCCTTGATAGATGATTTGGTGCTTCATGATATAAACTTTTTAATCTAAATGCTTCTGCTAATAACACCTTAATATCTTCTTCTGTCCAATAAGCTGTCGATAAAGACAATGATTGTAAAAATATCATGATTTCCTATTAAAAAAATATAATCAATTAATTTGCTTTTTTTATCTTTTTTTTTTATTGGATATAAAATACCTGAAATTCCATAGACTTTAATTTATCTGACCATATATTTAGAAATGCTACACAAACGTACAAATGAAATCCCGAAAATCCTTCTGATCCTTCCGCCTACAAATTTTTACAATTATTTGTTAAAACTTCAACATTATAATGACGAAAAACTTATTTTTGTGTTTATTACAATTCTCCTCCTTACAAGATAAGTATCCCACATTCTAATTATATGTTTTAATGACATTTCCCGCATTAACAAACAATTAATCCATCTGAAGGCAAATTGAATATATTCAACACCTTCCTCTTGTAAATGAGCTGCAAGTGGTGCTATAATATATCATATTTATAAAAAAAAAAATAATAATTTTATTAAATAAGTTTGCAAATAACATAAAAAATATTAATAAATTAAATATTATTCTACCATTTATTCTGTTAATTAAGTCTTTTAATTTATTAATTTGCCTTTGTATACCACTCTGCGCAAATGTATAATTGTCCTATGAATAAATAAGAACAAGTATTATTGTTAAAATCATTTAAAAGGTTAATTCATTCTATTTAAATGATATTTAAGATTCTTAACCTGAATACCATCAAGTAATTTAGATAAGCACCAATAACTATCTGCCTCAATCACATCCAAAACATCTTTTGGGAGGTTGCTAGTATCATAGTTTTCTGGATTTTCATCTATAATGAAATTCCAATGAATAAAAAACAAAAGTAATTTTCTTTGAATAAATGAATAAAGACTAACCAATATAGAAAGAGAGGAAGACTTGGAAAAATGGAGTGACAAGATCATTGATTCCCTGAACATATTCACTTGCAGGATGTCGGACTGACCAGAGATAAAGTATACGTTCCAAACACTAAAAGTGATTATATCTTAAATAAGTCCAATGATTCATATATTAAATTAAAAAGTTCATTTATTTGATGTAACCTGCTGAGTAGTCTCATATTGATAAAGAGCGATACCAGGGTTTGTTCGAGGCACATCAATATGAATTTGATGCCAAATAGTTTGATTCAATCCAGCAATTCCTTTAGAATATGTTTGTGAGATAAGGTCAATATATTCTTTCCTTTTTCGCGCCAAAGTTTTAACTTGACGATCAGCATTACAGGGAAGGTATTCCTAAAATTGTAAAAGATGAGATATTAAATATATATAAATAAAAATCTTCAGTGAAGAGCTAATTTAAATTTACCAAAAGTAATTGCCATGTTATAGATCTCAACTCATCTGGTATGCCTATCCAACTGTTTTTTTTGAGTTCAGCTGCATTTAAAATACATTAATTAATATCCGATCTTATAAATGGACGCATTTTAATTGAAAATTTCCACATACTTAAATCAATATTTGCACTTTGTAATACATCTTTGAATATATTAAGACGTCTTGGAGATTCATTATTTAAACGGTCTATAATCACGTTTGAAAAATTCAGCGAACTAATTGCCTTTATAGGATCTAAAGGGAGAAAAAAATTAAGAAAATCTTTAAAAATTTGTAAAAAATTTATTTTAGTCTAATAAATTACCTCGAATTAATAAAGCGATATCAGGTTTGAGTCCAATGGAACTTTTCTCAACGAGTATCGACCGATTAGAATCCATATCTGAAGTTTTTTTATGTTCATTGTTAATTATTCGAGATTCTTTAGCGTGATTGTGAATTTTTAATTTATCCAAAGACAAATCATCTTCATCTGATCTATTATCCCATTCGTCATTTGTTTCGGAAGAAAACGTACTTCCAGAAGGATTTGGGGATGGTTCACGACGAGGCGAAGATATCGATTGTGATGACTGAGATTGTAAATAGCTTTTTTTATAAATGGTTTTTTTTATAGTAAGTGTCAAAAAAAAAAAAAAAAAAGAATGAAATGCGCTTATTAGACGGAATACCTTAAATCATCAGAATTATTCGATACGATTTGTCCATAAGAATATTTTGCACCAATCACCAATTTTGTAGCTCCTGTCTTTGATTCTACCGGTTTAACTCTAGAAAAGTTTAAACATAAATATTGCTTAAATAATATAATTGTTAGACATTGTGATTCAAGAAATTATATTATTACCTTCCAGGTAATGTAGAGGTATGTGGTCGTAAAAAACTCCTTTTAAAAAAAAAATGGTTAAAACATAAAAGATGGATAAATCGTTGAATAATAAAGTTGGAAAAGGCATACTTTTTTGCTAAGCTTGAAAAAAAGTTTACATCGGCCATTTTTTTCACACGTTCGTATAATAATAAAAAATATAAAAAAATAAGTGAACCGATCAAAAATTTTTTATGCCCATGTGCCATTAAAGTTCACAATGATCAATGATCCGATCTGTGGGATTGGACCGAAGGCGATCGATTTTTAGACCCGAATTATTTAATATTACAAAAAATTATTTCAAATATCTTATTTTGGTCCTCCGTTGAATAGATAAAGTTCGAAATTAAAATGCGTTTACAGTAAAGAATGGCAGAAGCCCTTCTTGTTTAAGTATGCAAATAACATTTATTTTTAGAAATATTTTCTTTTTGAAATATTCGTTTGGAAACATATTGTAGATTTAGGAGTACCAACAGAAAACCAACTTTCGCACATAATCGAAGAATTACATTATGTTAAAGAGCAACAATGACAGAAGGTATTATTTGCAGGATGCAATACTTATTAGAGGAATTGCATGAATTGTATCATCATCACATTTATTATGGATGAAGAAAGTTATAGCTAACATTGGAAAAATATTTGTTGAAAAACGCTTTATTTGTTTTTCCCATTTACAAAATATATTCCTGGGGATTAGTGAATTATAAAACTTCGTGCAAAGCGCAGTAAGTAGTGTAACGAAACGAACCAATCAGCATCGACTTAATATTTGAGTGAACTTCTAATAAAAATTTTTTCGTAGTTAATTAACCAAATTAATAACCCAAATTTTTAATTCCCTTTAAAAAAATCTATTATTTTTACATCTAACCTAATTTTGGTTTCCTTTATATTTTAACAGAAGGTACTGTTTATCATAATAAGAATATGAATAGGAGTAACTCGTTAACTCCTGGTTCACCATCGCCTGCTACTCTTCATAATTCTTCATCTCTTCCCAAATCAACCGATCTTTCCACAAGTGTTTCTTCGCAACAATCTTGGGAATATTTGCGAAAACAGGCTAGACAATTAGAAAATGAGCTTGAGCAAAAACTTACCAGTTATTCTAAAATTGCAGCACAAGTGGGGAGAAGTGTGGGATATGGTCTTGGAAGCAAAAGAAATGATGGCATGGCGGGAAATTCGAGCGAAGCTATGGAATTAGAATTAGAAGAGTTAATCAAGAAGGTAATCGGTTTTTTTATTTCCACTTTTATTTATTTTTAAATTAAATCTTTACTTACTTGATTCGTTTAGCTTACTTCGGTTATAAACTCTATGGCCGAAGTTGTAGATAGACCTTTAACAACGCCAACCAATCCATCAATGATGCATATGCTGCAAAGGCATAGAGATATATTATATGATTATTCAAAAGAATTTAAAAAAACAAAAGTATATAAGAAATAATCAAATATCATTATGTAGAATGAAATAAAATATTTATATAATTTAATTTATAGGCAAATATACAGGCAGCAAAAAATCATTCAGATTTATTAAGTTCGGTTAGAGAAGATATCAGGCAAGCTTGGACGTTAATCTTTCTTAAAATTTCTTCATATAATTAAACATTTTTGTATTTTAATAGTTCCTTTAAATCAGGAGCAAGTAGTGAAACTGATTATTTCCTAAGCGAAAGAGGCAGAATAGAAAGCTCTCATAGAATGACAGATATGGTTATTGAGTACGTTTAATTCATTAAAAAAAAAAACTTGAGGCTTTTCCATTACACTATTAATTAAATATTTGTATTTTAATTATAGACAAGCATATGAAACAAGAGAAGAGATTGGAAGACAAAGAAGCTCATTATTAAATATTAATAGTCGAGTGAGCCGTCTAATAAGTATGCATTAGTAATTACTTTCTATCATGAAAGTTAATTAACTTTGATATATTTTTTTTATTTGTTTAGATACATTTCCTGGATTAAACAGTTTAATAGGCAAAATAAATTCGCGTAAAAGGAGGGATACAATTATATTATCTATTATAATTTCTTTATGTATTATTTTGATATTTTTATATATGAGACATACTTCAGAATAATTACATTGACTGTCTTGGAGCTCTGGTTCCAACAGAAGGACTTGTTTGGTTGTTCTTTTTCTTATGAGTTTGTTGTGGTTGTTTGTAACAAACCCGAGTGTGACAACTCCAAGCAAATAAATTGAAGAAGACATTACGTGGTTGAGATTGGATTGGGAATTGAGATTATGTGATTGAGGTTAACGTCTTCAATCTTAATTCACAAAAACATTAGATTATTAGAGATCGTCGTGATGGGTCAATTTCTTTTTTCTTTTATATTTTTTTAATTTTTATATTCAATTAAAGCATAATGGATTTGAAGAAGCTATTAAACATCTCTTATTAAATTAACCAACGAAAACAATAAAAAGAAGAAGAGGAATAAACCTTTTAGCTTTAGGTTTTCATCATAGAATTGAAAAGAAGAATGCTCAAAATGCTCAAAATGCCAGAGAAAAGTGACAACTGAAATGATTGAAAGTTTGCCAAATTTATTCGAATTTCTTTGTTATGCACATATAATATTTTGATTGATTTATTATATGAAATGCGGATAAAGCGTTTGTGACAAAAGTGCTTGATTTAAGGCAATAGCAGAATCAACTCGCCTTGAGACAATCAAATATTGGACATTCGATGTCCAGCCTAAATTTTGAAGTTCTCTTCGTAATGAGTGAACAGGTTAAGATTCCCCTTCCCCAGCATCACCGACAAAGGTAGATCCATGGTATTTACTATCAATGTATACATTTAACAAAATCAGGCAGAAGCAATTTCCGAAAAGCTTGAACAAGGTTTCTAATAACGTCAGATAAACTCCGATTATGATCCTTTTTCAATCAATTCACGAATATACGATACAATTCTGCGTCGTATGTACTCTCTCTAAGAACTTTGGTAAATCTTTACGATTTTACACAAAGATGGCTGGAACTTTATAAGAACGAGATGATCCAAGTAAAATTTGATCTGGATCAAACTCTCCTTCATCGACCCAACTAAATTTTAAATTTTTGACATAAAACTCTCCAAATCCCCAATATTTTTGTGACTGCCGCATCTCAACGTCAATTGCCCATAATTTTCTATGAGTTCAGAGCAGGACTGCAATCCATAACGGTCGAGACTCACGTTAGCAGTTACACTACTTTTATGCTTAGGATCATTATCCTGAAGCTTCGAATATTTTTTTCAATGTTTTCTTTTAAATTATTTGTATTATTTCTAGTCCAAGAAAAAAAGTGCTCGAAAGACCAACGAGAAAAAGGATAAGCCAAATGTATTCGATTTTCCTTTGAAGATTGAAGGATCCATTTGAGTTTTGAGTCGTTCAGCTCTCCTTCGCAAGTTTTTTGCTGGACCTATCATCAAATCAGTTTAAAAAGATATATTCTTTGAACATGATTGAATAAAGGTTAGAAATAAATTATTTTAACTTTTAAAATGACCAAAAATTTATTTATATAACAACTTTTTTTCTCAATGTGTCCCCCAAGTAACTACAGTCAAAGCTCGTTATAGTGAATCCTATTAAAATGATCAGAACCAAGAGTTCACTATAAAGAGCTTTGAAGTGTTCAAATTAGTCTATTTTTGCTTGAATAAGTTCAGGTACTTTGGGCCAGTTTTGTAAATAAAAGGAAAGAAGGTTGACGCGAAACACATACGAAATTGATCGGCATATAATTTACCAAAAAAGAAAATCTTTTTTTTTTTTATGATAGTCATTAAATAAATACTAATAATAATTCATGAAAAGTCCAAACATTACATAATTTAAGACTATAAAAGCTAATATATATAAAAATTATTGTAATCAAAATTTAAATGTTTAAATAAAAAAATAAGTATAATGTTAATATATAAACATGTTTTTTATCTCAAATGTTTTTCAGAATAAAATAATAAGTGTAATTATTGTAAAATCCTATATACAGTCAGACCCCCATATAGTCATCTAATCGGTTTCCTCAAAACTGGTGATTGTATAGAGGTGTGACTGTAAAAAGGTAACCCCTATACAATCACAATCATATTAAAAAATCA